GCTCTGAAGAGTATTAATGGGTCGCGCGACAAAAAGTCGATCTGTTATGAGTGTATATTTTAATGTAACTATGCAAGACGGGCAAGCGTAACCTGTTTTCGTGTACGTACGATGGCTGCATTCCTTTCGTAAACACAGAGATGTGCAGCGGGCCGCGCGGGCTGGCGGCCGCGGGACGGTACTGCACCGTCGGGACTCGCCACTCGCCGGGGCATCGTCCGCCTCGTGAGAAACGAATGTTCCTGGCCTCTAATTACGTTTTATGCGATATCGCCATTTAATTAGCAACATGTTTCCCATTTCGAAACATTAATTAATATTTTCATCAGAGTTCTCTGCATTTAACTGTGCTTTTATTACTCGCTCGAGATTTAATAAAGATTCCTGGCCACCCTCGTCGGGGTATTATTGTTTTAAGAGTTCTTATTAACTTTTTGTTTCAATACCATTTTTTGTGCCGCTGTCGATATATCCAATTGTTTAATTACGAAAGGTATTTTATCAAAGGATAAATAATAAATTGATCATTTAAAATTTTTAGTACACTACGAGGTTAAGGAAGGTTAAGTAAAATAACAGTATTTGAGTACAAAAATCCAAAAGTAAGAGGTAATGACGGCATTCGTGGTGAATTTGCCAAATAAGGGATACAATCAATTTGATGGTCGCTCAGTGCTTAATTGTAGCGGGTTTAATAACCGATCCACGTACTCGCAGACAAATTGCGACAGCTGACCGCGAGTAATGGCATTACAATGACATCTTTTACGTGCGCCTCATTACTCCAAACCATGGTAAATGTGTTGTACGGATTGTTTATATTAGGGTAATTTATCTTTGTTTTTTAAATTTTATTATTTTTATCCATTGACTAGTTACCTAGTTATATGGACATAAGAACTTTATCTATAAAAGATAAATAAAATTGAAGTGTCTGTTTGTAATGCTTTTTACTAAATACATAAGAAATTATATACGGTACTTATAAAGAAAAACATAATTTTAAAAAAATTTGTGTGTGTCTATTTGTTTGTTCCGGCTAATCTATGAAACTGCTGGACTGATTTTGACAGGACTTTCACTGGTGGATAATTGGTGTTATAAGGAGTAATTTTGGCTTATTTTATTGTAAAAAAAAGAATTAGGATTCCGTTCAAAAAAAATGAAACGTACCTAGGGACGCACCCGAGTGAAGCGTGGGTCAGTCGCTAGTATACTAATAAAAGGTAATTAAAATAGATTGAAACAAAGATAGTGCGTAACGTAATATTTAGGTACTTTTGATTCATTATTTTTACAGGATGCAACAAAGTATATCTAAGTAGTATTTTGGAACTATATCCAATAGATGTTCAATAGCTTAATAACGAAGCATACTAAATAAATTAAAAACGTAATCAATACTATGTAAATTTTGTACTCCTATACTAAATTATCTTTTTGTTACCAAATGTAGGTACTATATTAATACCATATGTATACTAGCTAACTATGAGGGAATGAAATTTGTATAAAAGTTTTCATTTAGACACTTGGTACTTCATATAAAACCCCATCCGGCTCACTGTAAATACAAAATAAAGGTTGGTAGCAGTAGATAAGTCTAATAATAATTAAGCACTAATTTAATAATAAACCGACACATAGTTATAAAAATATTCCAATTTTGTTATCTATATTTGGATACTCTTACTGTAATTAAATTAAAAATGGCATTTATTGTAATAATACTATTTTATTATGCGTAGATAATAATAGCCAATAAATAACTTTAAATGTCTGGAAATGGCAGTTAAAAATATTTTTATAGGTATAGTGTTTAACAATTTACGGTATGTCATTACTCCTTGTTTTATGAGTAGGTAAGTGATGATATTGCCTTTGCAATCTAGGTTTTTTTTTTACAAATAATACGTATACGGTATACAAAGTTGAGAATGCTTAACCTTTTTAATCAAACAAACACGTCTGAAGTCTAAACCATGCATAAGATAGTACTTTCTTAGATTTACGCGAATATTTGATATTTTAAATAAAACTATCTTTTCGGATAATTTCGCGGATTTATTTTGATTTTTGGTTACCGACGTTTCGAATGCTTTACAGCAATCATGGTCACGGGAGGGGCTAAGGTTATAGATGTCTCAAAGGCATTATACACTGGTTACAGACAGTGCTTACTATTTTACAAAAATGATGGTCATGCTTAAGAATAATTTTTCATTCACGACAAAGACAGCTAATGGAAAATCACCGTAAGTAGGAAAGAGACAGAAAACTTAGTAGAAATTGTCACTATCCGAACATGTTCTTTTTTATATTACTAGAATATTCTTTGTTATAAAAGTATTAAATAAGTTAAATTTTATCGAGTGATTAATAAGAATTCTAAAATAAATGAAGGTTCAGAAGAGATACGAAGATGAGAAGAAAGGAAGTCAAATGAAGTGATAGTGATAGTTCCAACGACTACTCAGTTGGGCTGAGTAGTCGTTGGATAGTTCAATATATTGCTCAGTGACTGAATTGAGCTATAACTGTGCGTAACCCGCAAGTATATGTGAATAGCTTTTAGTGGCACTTGTGTATGGTAAAGAAATAAAATACCTATATTGCGAGTGCTTTAATTTTAGATATTAAGACCCAATCTTGTGATAATATATTACACTAGCATTGCCTGCGGCTCTGCCCGCGTTCAGATGACTAAAAAACTAATTCTTAGGTCTTACATATTAGTATTATACTCTTACATTGCAGTTTTTGTATTTTTTCTTAGAAATGAGACATTTTTCCAAGGTAAAAAGTATCCTATATGTTGAACTGGATAACCAGCTATAACCATACCAAGTTTTGTCAAAATCCCTCCAGTGGTTTTTTTGTAATGCGGTAACAGACAGACAGACAGACGTAAATTCTAAAAACTATAGATTCGGCCTCTGTATCGATAATAACGTTTATTTCAATAAGATTTTCCAAAAATAAATATTTAATGTCCAGATTCAGCTAAGTTACAATTTTATTATATGTATAGATAGATAAATAATATTTTAAAATACAATATTTACTTTATTAGCTACAAATATATACCTAATGGAGAAATATTGATTTTTTCTTAAACATTTAAAAAAAACATAAAGAAAATTATATCTATTTCAATATTATGGATTAATGAAAGTCCCGTTATTCTGCGTATTTGAGGTCCAAGAGCGTGAGAACAGCTCTCCAAGGAAACTAATTATTGCGAATGCGGCCTGGGTCTTCAGTTAATTAGAGACAGAGTGGTTCAACCCTCTTAATTAATAGGCACTCGAGTTGGGCCCTTATGCTTACCTCCACTGTTTTGTTTCAATTGTTAAATTTCTCATAAAACATGAGTAGGTATTGTATTAAGATTATTATCATACTGCAAAGAGCTAAACTTTATAGTTCTATTGTTGTAAATTAATTATTTCTTAGTTTTTTCTTTTAAATCACGCCTCTAGGAAATTATTTTGATATTTTATATGCTAATAGGTTAATTTTTTAGCATTCCAAAACAGGTAAATTAACAAGTTTAACTAAATAAAGATTTAAATGACTGTAATTAAGCTATGACAAATTAAGACTTATACTTAAGACAGATAGAGCTATCTATCTATACATATAAAAAAATTGTAACTAAGCCGAATCTGTACATTAGATATTTTTTGGAAAATCTTATTGAAATAGACATTATTATCGATACAGAGCCCGAATCTATAGTTTTTAGAATTTTTGTCTGTCTGTCTGTTAACGCATCACGGAAAAACCACTGGAGAGATTTTGATGAAATTTGATATGATGATAGCTGGTTATCCGGGTCCACATATAGGATATTTTTATTGCGTGAAAATATCTCATTTCTGAGAAATCTATACTGAACGTTAAAACGTATGTAGGGACGAACCCGAGCGAAGCGAGGGTGAATCGCTACTTAAAATATAATACGTAACTTTGATTTTGTTATTGTACTCGAAATTATACTTTTAACATTATTTTTACATATGTCTTTAATTTATTTCACCTGTTACAACTTTCATTCTGTGCTTATGATAACAATCACATACATAGGTATACCTATAGCAAATAACACGCTGATAGCGTCAACAGTGTTTATGATGTGTCAACGGAAGGTCGTAAAGGTGAAAATTGTCTGTGGTAATGGTACATTAAATGTATTCATATACTAAGCATCTAAAACTTAAAACTATATTTCGAGACAGAACATGACTCTTCGATTAACATAAAATCGAGTGGACGGATCGTGGGCGCAGGAACTGATACTCACTAGTGTTATCGAGTGTTTCTAAGAAAAAACTCACCAAGTGAGTATTCGAAGTGCAACAACGTAAAGATTAAGATTTTATACAAGTACAGCCTTAGAACGAGCTAGAATGATTAATTTCGTCCATGAGAATGAATTGCTTTATTTTAATTATTTTCAAATATTTATATTAGGTACTACTATACTGTATCAAGATTACTCTTGTGTCATAAACATAGATCTTCTATTTTTTTTTATGAAACGTCTTACTCAATCGTAGTTCTAATATCCCATAGCGCAATTATAGCCACAGCGGTAAATCAAAATAGTTCAAGAATACGAAACCGCATTAGCTAGTCATCTTCTACCGCAAGGAGGACCAAAAAATAATTAGCAGTTACCCGACCGGTGACCTCCGCCCAATGAAAGTACTCGGCATTGACCCGTAAGTACCCCACAAAGTGTTACGACATCGATGTTTCAATGATATATGGAAATATTAAAGTCCATTCTTAAACAAACCAATAATAATAATTTGTGTTGATTTTTCCATTACGTTATATTATGATCTAAAAAACTATGTATTTGGTCCTACATATAAAGCATTAATATGTACATAAATAAGGTATCAATTACATATCCAATTACCTTATTAAGTTGTTATGCAGCATAGGATGCATGTCGCTGTAAGATGTTTTAATAAATTTAATGGAGATTAACGGTTACAAATGTAGAAATGCAGTCTGACATGTTTGATGTAGAGTTCCGATGCAAAGCACTGATAACATTCCGGTGGAGGATTCGAACACGAAATTCTTGACGTGGTCAAATCTAAGCCGCTAGTGGTATATATGCTATACAGAACTTCTGTTGCATGTCTATATGGTATTGTTGAATGTAAGGAATCTAAGTTGTGTTGATTGATGCGCGTCTTCCATTGCGCCCGAGCTGCCAATCCAGGATTCAACTTGGGCAGCTTGTGGCGCAATGTCCTGCATTCCATAGCTCGACGACGTGGCATATCGGACGAGAGGTCATCACTAAGCGATAGGATCATGACAGAGAATTCGTCGGTCGGCTGCCGATGGAATGCGAGCGGTAATTGATTTGTCCTGTGTAATCGACGGCCTGAACGAGATCGACGGGAATATCGAGACGTCATGCTCGCCGCCGGAGATAGTGCGCAATGTTGCATTTTCCTACCTCTGTTACTTATATACAATTTCCTAAAGCTATGTATCTATACCTCTACTATTTGACAACTAATCCATATAATAAAATTGTAACTAAGCCGAATCTGTACGTTAGATATTTTTTGGAAAATCTTATTGAAATATACATTATTATCGATACAGAGAGTTTCGTTTTTAGAATTTTTGTCTGTCTGTCTGTTACCGCATCACAGAAAAACCACTGGAGGGATTTTGATGAAATTTGGTATGGTGATAGCTGGTTATCCGGGTCAATATATAGGATACTTTTTACCGCGGGAAAATATCTCATTTCTGAGAATAAATACAAAAACTGCACTGTAAGAGTATACTAATATGTAAAACCTAAGAATTTGGTTTTTTATCATCTGAACGCGGGCGGAGCCGCGGGAAATGCTAGTAGTAAATAAACTTTGAATATGCTTAAAACATGTTTAACATTATGTGCCTAAAAAACATTTATTAACACGTAGAGTCACTGTACCAAAATTATAGCAGTTATTTAAAATATTTTGATACCCTTCACATATTAGGTAGTCCGCTTTTTTATACAGCTTATAAAGCTAATCATTGAATACTATAAAATATCGATTTTATTCTAATCCAAGGTATATTTCTTAGGTTTTATATCACGTTTATATGGCATGTCTGTAATGAAATATTGAAAGTCAAACGCCTATTCTACGCACGCAAATGTTCATCTGATCCGGTCTTTACTCTATACTAACCGCGCAAAGCCAAATAAAATTAATATTCATAGCCGTTGTATTTATTGGCTTTCAATTAGTATAATCTTAATGGAGCATTAACATACGCGCGGGCGGCGCGTCCGAGTATGCTATAACTGTCGTGGTGTTGTCAACACATGAAATGAAAATTTTCCTTAAATATAATTTATGAATACAATGTATAAAAAATACATACATTTAAACTATTATTTTTAATTATCAGTTGGTATCAGAAATATATTTTTAAAATAAAACTTTTTTAATCATTTGTAATTAGCTCTATCCCGTTTAATTCTTTTAGAGCTATAATAGTAAACATAGACTATGTTGCAAAATATGCCATGTAGCTTAGCATACATACAAGGCAACTTGAAGTGGTATAATATTATGTGTGTCCTAGTTAAATTATAGTTAAAACAATTACATAAATGGGCAACAGAGTCATTTCTACGCTGGCAACTTTGGTCGCGGAAGGCTCGCAGCCGATGACCTCAACGGACCGGTTCCCGCGGCCTCTCCCTGCGACCCCTCGTACCCCCCTCTCTTACCCTCTGGCCCCCCTCGCGCGAGACGTTTCATTACGTTATTACTTATTATTATATTAAATGCTTTAATACACATTGTAGGCATTAGTCTGACGAGATGTTGTCCTTACAAAGGATGTTTTTTTTAATTTAGATTCTACATTTAATTGGCACAGTTCCCTTTATGCCTCTAAGGATCTTACAAATGCCAAATTATTCAAATCTTAATGTTTAAAGAAAAGTAAAATATAATAAGTAAGTGAAATTTTTATATTTTTTCTTCTCGATAATTTAAAACGATGCATAGTTAATTAATAATTATATAAAAATGGATAGAAAAGAAAATTGGCCGCTTAATATTATTCATATACAAATGCATTAATAAATGTTTAATAATAAAATATAGAAATATAAAATGGAAACAACTTACAAAGTAATAAACACAGCGTATAACGAAATAAGTAGACATAATAAGTACATTTTCTCTTAACATTTGCATAATATTTATTCTAACTGATATAAGTGATCCACTTAAATGTAACTATAAGTAACGTAATTTAATTTAATATTCGTATTTTTTTTAAATAACTTTTCCACATAAATATGTGCTCCTCGGTGCGTGAAAACAGTTTAAGAAAAGTAGAAAAGAAATCCGTTAACACGCAAGATACTCAAGAGTGTTTGGAATCTTCCACGTCTTCCGTAAGGAGAAATCTATAATTTAACTGTGGGACGTAAAGAGGCAGTTATGAGTTATGTATTGCAATACAATTTGTTATGTCATTTTACTATGTGCTATCTCAATGTTTAATGTTTCCTGGCTTTTATGGTAATTTTCATATTATTCTAGTGATTTATTACGTTGTTCAAAATGCGCAGTTTTAGACAGTATTTACTTGATTATGATGTTTCTATCAATTCTCTAAGGCGTTTTTGTTTACTGGCAAGATAGACAACACAATACATAGTATAACTATTAATACAATAAAAATAAAGTCACGACGTAATTTTAATTGAATGTAAAGAATGTTGATATTGAATAATTTAATAATGGTAATAACTAAGACAGTGGTAGCTCAGTGGTATCGCGCTCGCTTGGAAAACCGAGTGAAGCGGTTTCAAATCTGGGTCTCGTACCTCTTATATTTTCATGTGCGAATCATTTCCAACGTGATTACGTGGTTTGTAACGTATGGAAATGACTCAAAGCTGTGCCTGTCTAACATCTACATAAAAGACAGATCTTTAGACCGTCGAAGTGAAATCGTGATAATAATAAAAAAAAAATATATGCTAAATGCATGTTTGGTTACAAAGATGTTAAAAACTGATCGTTGTACAAAGTGTGTGTCCAGAATTGATTCTAATTATAGACGGCCGGTCCGGACGGGTCAGAGCGCGCTGCAAAATAAAGCACATTACAAAATATCACGTTACATCGTTCGGTGCACTTGATCATGCCGTTGTCCGATCTCTTTTATTTGTGAAACTTATACTTCTTTTTTATTTATACCGCTTTGAATGACCGCGTCGACCGCACTGCTTAGCGCACGCCGCCACAGCGCCAACCTGCCCGCAAATAGATCTTGAAACCAGTATTAATTTGTGTGAAACCGTAACTATAAATCAATATTTATACACAATAACCATCGCTTGTGGTATGACTCAAAGTTATGACAAAGGAAAGCAAATGAATTATACAAGGAATTGAACGATTCACACCTTTGACGCTCAGGACTAACGTTCTGAGCTCATTAAAATAAAATTATCATAAAATCACTGCACACTAAATTATATTTAATTTGCGCTCATGTTTTATCTCTAGCACAATCTTACAATTTATTACTAAATAAAGAGTCGCACAGCCTTGATTCGTTTAAATACTAGACATCCGCCCACGCGATTTCAAACCTGCCACTAATTTTGTTATAATAAATTCAAAGCAAATCGTGTCAATGTGTTTTTACCAAGTAATTACTATATTAGAGCTCACAGCAGCTATGCAAGTGCACAAAAAGTGCTTATTATTAAATATGGAGTAAATAGTTCAAAGATCTTCGACTATAGAACGAAAGCAGAATTGGCATGTCGAAATACAAGCGGTAATAGAGCGGGTGGAGTGCGTGCAGAGGCCGTAGCTCGCCGACCAATTTATTCGCCGGGACGTCAGATTTCGAGGGCCTCGTTACGACTAAGCCTCCAATTAGACTTATCCCTAATTAAGAGATGCCAATAAATTACCCTCCATCACGGGCTAACGAAGACGCGCCGCACTAATAACGCTAATTGATTTTGAGTAATGAGCTCGAGTTTTGATGGAGCTGATTGGTAGACGCGAGGGGGCGCCATCGATCGCATGATTGCCAATAAGAGACTCTGGCTTAGTTCAATTTGCTTCGTGCCGCGGCGCTCGCTAAACTGGTCGACTCATAAATTATCTTAAATAGGTTGAGTGTTTATGCAATAGTTATAATTTAATTATATTTTTATACGACGTTCTGTATAAAGAAAATTTCAATTTTACATATAGTATTTACATTTAACTCTATTGTTAATGTTCGAGCTCTAAATGGCGAGCTTAAGTTAATTATTTCTGTCGATCCACATTTCTAATTGGGCTATATTATTTTATGGAAATGATGATTTTGAAATAGATAACATTGCTAATAAGTACTTCAAAAAACAATAGTTCTATAAAAACAGAAATGATCTTTACGGTAGAAGTCCAGTAACTGCATATTTAAATTTATAACATCAACGGAAGAAACCAATCGTGATTTAGTATCTATAAGAAACTACGGGTAATTTTCCTTTAATTGAATTCCGTGAATACAGTAAAAGCTTGCCTTTAATTACTGAGCAGTCTAGAATATTCCATGATAGGCGAATATCAGTATGGAAATATCTAATTAGTAAGACTTTACGTGATAGCGACTAAGTAAGCATGTGTGAAATCAGCTTTTTTCGATTTTGTTACTTCGAGATTCATTATCTACTCCTTAATTATATCTATTAAGATTTAGCAGAAGTATACAATGTAGATATGCAAATTTACAAAAAAGTGCCAATTTCACAATTAACATAAAAATATTAAAGTACCTACTTGGAAAATAGTATGTTAAGCTTTTTATGCATGAAGGTAACTGGTTGATAAATCGAGTCCATCTCTCTTTTTTCTCTGCCCTCAAAGGCGAACGTTGGGACCACTAATAGAAGTCACTACACACTTTGTATTGCAATATAACTTTAAATATCTATTTATAAAGGAATATCTAACGATGTATAGAATTTATAAATAAAACTACACTTACGTAAACTAATTGCATCATCAACTTTACAACAAAATCTAGTTATTACAAAGCTGAAACATTTAGACAAATCGTCATATTAAATTAATTTCTAAAATTAAAAATCGTCTCTCATAAGTATTATAAGGTTATTAACTTAATTTAAATTTTATTCATGGCACATAATATAGAGCTCACGATGTATGCACAGCCAATAGGTTTCGTTTTTAACATTTAATATTAGCATTGTTCTGGTCACGCGCAGACGAACACGCAAGCTGCATGCAAATCAGCTGTTAACGAGACGGTGTTTGTCGTCATCTTAATAACCACAATACATAATTGTACTAACACTTGTTATTCTTCTTAAGGAAACTTTTTTTAATGACACGTTTATAATTAAATATAAAACATATATTATATATTTATTCATTATATAAATATA